CAAGGATCATGAATCTCCAACCCCCCTGCCACATGCAGGGCCACCAACCTCCCCATTTAATACTAGACCAGGCTGCCCAGGGCCCCATCCAACCTGGCCTTGAACACCTCCAGGGATGGAACATCCACAACCTCTCTGGGCAGCCTGTTCCAGCACCTCACCACTCTCTCTGTAAATAATTTCCCCCTGACATCCAACCTAAATCTTCCCTCCCTCAACTTCAAACCATTTCCCCTTGTCCTGCAGTTATCTACCCTTTCAAAGAGTTGATTCCCCTCCTGTACCTAGGCTCCCTTTAGGTACTGAAAGGCTGCAGTGACGTCACCCCACAGCCTTCTTTTCTCCAGGCTGAACAAGCCCAGCTCCCTCAGCCTGTCTTCATAAGGGAGGTGTTCCAATCCCCTGACCATCTTCGTGGCTCTCCTCTGGACCATCTCCAACAGCTCTCTGTCATTCTTGTACTGGGGGCCCCAGACCTGGACACAGTACTCCAGGTGGGGCTTCACAAGGGCAGAGTAGAGGAGGACAATCACCTCCCTGTCCCTGCTGGCCACCCCTCTTCTAATGGAGCCCAGGATACCATTTGCTTCCCAAGCTGCAAGAGCACACTGCTGGCTTGTTAAGTTTTTCATCCATCAGGACTGCCAGGTCCTCCTCTGCAGGGCTACTCTGAAGGATTGCTCCTTCCAGTCTGTGCAGATGCTTGCTTGCTCTGGAGTCCTTTGCTGCTGCTGAACATCTTGACCCTTTTGAAGCACCTCCTTTTGTGCTCTGTCACACCCTTCAAATTGCAAGCACTCTGTTCGCTACTATTTAACACCAGTGCCCAAGTAATACCAGTCTTGCTGCCAAGCAGTAACACAAACCTAGAAGACTTAGTACCTAATTACAATGTGTTCCAAGTACATAGAATTAGCAAGCTGTGAGCTTCTATAGTCAAAAGGGCTGCTGACTAACCTTAATGTTTTTTTTTACTTCAGTTCTGTTTGATAAATCCATGAGGTGTTATTTCTTAAAATATTCAAATATTAGCACAAATAATGATAAAAATGCTTTTAGTCTCCCTACACTATGAAAGAAAAAAAAATAAAAGTCAGGTGCTTCAAGATGGCTCTCAGTACAGTCTGCACACCAGACTGACAGACAGATCTATAACTATTTCTCTCTCCTATAGCCTTCCAGTCCCTGCCAGTTTTACTTAGACATACACAGAAAAGGACCATAAGGCTATACACAAGAAGGAATTGCAGTTGCTTGCCTTTTTCAAGAAGCCAGTATCACTAAAGCTACTGCCTACATACCTTAGTGTTTCTTACAAATACTAGGAATAAGTAGTGTTACACTAGGAAAACACCTACTGCCTCACACAGATAGGGATGTAAAGAAGTCAGTACGCAGACAAGCACTGCACCATCAAATGTCATCCTTCACTCCTCCAAAAACCCAACTGATAGTAAACACAGTTCCAGAGCCTTTGATTCTTTAGGCTTCCTGCCTGAAGAGATGACATCTGTGAGGCTGTGAGTGTGGCCCTACAGCAGGTTGCTTCCAGTGTATTTCAGCAGCAGCCGTCGGATTCATGACAGCTATTCCAACAATTAAAAGGCAAATAAGGAATAAAATGCACTTCCACAAACCGTACCCAAAGTCAGCAATCCTAATTATTGCTTCCTGCCTACTCTGACAAATGTGTCCTCAGCTGTATTCTCCACCTTCCAAAAGGTTTGCAGAACAAAGCAGCAAAGAGTTATAACTCCACACACCAGATGTGCTAAAAAGCAGGCAAAAAACCTATGGATGGATTTGCCCTTCCTATTAATATTCACCATTAATAATATTTGTCTTTCTGAAAATCATAACTCATTAAAAAAAAAAAAAAAAGCCTCCTACAAAAGCAAGCATGTAATAACATAACTTCCTTATAAGCAATGCAGATGGTCCTTGGATAGTGAGAACAAGGAGAGCCAGCTCAGTGATTTTGGAGTGAATCAGCAGTAGGACAAGAGCAAGTGCTGAAGATCCCTTTTTTGATGTGAGATGAAGAAGCCAGAAGGTATTAAAGGTAGATATGATCAAAGCAATGAGCAATAAAAAAGCAAGTGGGACCACAGAAAGTTTGTTAGGGTCAAAAGGATATTTACAAGATTCCAGATGATATCTAGCTACCTACAAATTTCCAGGGCTTCAAAGAGCTGCAGTTAATACAGATACGCAACCATGGTATGTGAGTTTCAACATCCCTCAGATGTGACAACGTGAACAGATGCCTAGGGGAAATGTAATAGCTCAGGTCTGTGAACAAAAGGAGGGACTCCAGCATCTCTGACGAGAGGAAGGGATCTGTGATAACAACCTCTTAGCTTCAGTTAAGAGCTCATCCTGAATTTTGGCCAATGCTAGTCATCTGCAAGACCAAAAGCAAGGGTTTTAAAGACTGACAGAGTAAGAATCAATATGCAAGTATAATTCATTATACCCTGAAGATAACATCATCTAACAATGAGGTGAACAGTAAAGAAGCAGAACTCAAAAAATCCTAGCAAACAGGGAGGAGGATGACAGACAAGAATGTAAAGCTTGCATTAAAGAAGCTAACAGAAGCTAAAGAGACAATAGTTTAAAGAAGAAAAAGAATCCGTAACACCAACAAAAAGAAAATACAGGTTCTCTGACAGAAATGAGCCCCAGTTTGGAAGTCCTACACGTCTGTCATGAACAATTTCACGAGACAGTTTCTGGAAGACAGGCCTAAGAGAATCTCTAGTGAAACTGACAGGACCGAACTCCAGCCTGTTGTTTTTTTGTTTTTCTGTAATTACAGGTACGGGCAGAGACAAAATCACAGCTGTTCTGATGCAAGCAGAGAAGTTGACTGTCAGCATCTGGGGGAAGCCATGCATGTAGACAGCTCCCAGACCTGGGATCCCAGCAGAGACATCTTGAGGAATCACTGCCTCAGCCATTGCTCTGTGCCATGACTAACATAACCAGAACTTTGTCAGACCAGCAAGCGGTTAGTGCTCAGCCAGCACGGGTTAGGCGTGAAACGCATCAGGAGGAAAAAATAAATAAATCTGGATGTAACTGAAAGAAATACCTCCATTCTTCTTCTTCTGTTAGCTAACAGCAAGTTTCAACACGGGAACGATACAACAGGGCATTATGTTTTCACGACAGGCAAGGGCTTGGTACTTAACTAGAGAATCAACTTTGCTTTTTCTTCTGAACCACATCTTCTGGAAGTACACAGATATCCAGGCTCCAGGATATAATGCAGTGGCAGCCTAATGCTGTTCACACAGCTCTCTCACTGAGCAAACTTCCAAAGGTAAGAAAAGGAATGTACGCAGCTTGCCCATCCTATCACTTCCCAGACAAGTGCCCCTAGAACAGCTGGCACTAACTCAGCTTGCTGTTCCACCACCTCTTCTCCAACCTGCAGAAAACCACACGTGTAACTACAGGAGTACAAAGGCAGACGACAGCAAGAAGCTAATAAGACATGAGAAAATAAGAAATGCCAGAACAGGATGAGACACACATAAATTAAGCTTGAGGGAAGAAAACAAAACACAACCTCAATCAGCTTTGGTGGGGGGGAAGGGTGAGAGCAAGCCATACCATTAGTGTACAGAAAGACAGCATGAGAGGAAGAGGTTTTGGCAAAAGAGAAAATAGAGAAGACTTTAGAAGTGCAGTCAGATTGTAGATAAGGCAGCTAAGTAGAACAATCTATTACAAAGAAGAAAACTGAATTACAGGTTCAATTGGAAGCAGAAGACGGGTTGGACAACAGAGTGGTAGCTGCTCCAAGAACTCAACAGAAAAAAACAACACACTAAAGGTCAGAGCTTGCTGCCACTTCAAGCTTTGAGTTGTGACAGAAGAGAGGCATAGAAGCGTCACACAGAAATACGTGCATACAGTGAACAGAAGTATTCAGTAATGCAAATAGGAACACAAGGCTGAATGTGTCAGCACTGCTGAACTGAAGCAGCAGAAGACACCAAGCAAGGACAACAGAGACCAAGCAACACTTTGCCCAGGTGATGGCTGGAAAGAGAGAACTCAGAAGAGAAGACAAAACTGAGTTGGAGAATTTGAGACACTTCTGTTGAGCAGCCAAGCTCGGAGGCCTGTACTGCTAACAGCACAGGTGTGGGACTCAGCAAACAGCTCAACATGGGAATGCTAGTCATGCACAAAGCACACAAGCATGACTTTTCCAGAACCCCCCAGCTTACAGTGGGTCTCTAACATGTTAACAAGAAGCTGGGATAGCTGTACCAACAAACCAGTAAGAAGACTTACTTGCAAGTCACAAGGGTCTGTCATCTTTAGTGTAATCCACATTATGTAATACTTACGTCCATACAGTAGGAACATAAAGAGCTGGTTTCTTTCTTTCTGACGTACCAAACACCGCCATCACACACGGCACTGCTCGAGTCCCCTCGCTGGGCAAAGCAGCAGCCTGCCAAGGGGGCTCGGCAGCAGCACGGGGGCCTCAACCCCAGCAACGCTGAGCCGGAGCACGGCACCGCGCGCACCTGGCTGCCACGCAGGAAGTATCATGTTTAGAACAATAAATTACTGTGCAATCATCCCAGCCAGCGTAACATCTCTACGAAGCGATTCTGAACGAAAGAGGGACACGCCACATTTCGTCCACGTCAGAGCCACACAACCCAAAGCAAACACAGTCGCAAACGCGAACCTCCTCCAGCGCGGCACGGAGCCACCTGACCGAGCACAGATAACAGCTCGGGAACCCCTCGCACCGCTTCAGGGCCGGGCGGCCGCCTCCCTGCCGGGGCTCGCTCCGCTCGGTGCCGGCGGGGCACGAGGCGGCCGCGCCGGCGGAGCTCCGGCGATGGGCAGCGCCGGGCCCCCACCTCGGCAGCGCGGCCGGGCAGAGGAGCGCAGCGGGGCGAGGCCGCCGCAGCCCCGGGCCCCGCCGCTCCCCGCCGCCCCTCCCCGCGCCCGCCCGACGGCCGTACCCTTGGCCTCGCAGTCGGCGCAGTACTTGTTGTCCTCCTCGCGCAGCAGCTTGGCCAGGATGGCCTGGTGCTGCTCGTTCTGCTTCTGCGCCTTCTCGCGGCACGAGCGGGTAGCCATGGCGGCGACGAGCGGCTCCCCGCGAGCGAGGCGGCGGCGCGAGGCTGAGGCCGGGCACCGCCGGAGTCACGGCGCTGCCGCCCTGGCGCGGAACCGGCTGCCGCCAGCACCCACTTCCTCGACCGGAACTACTTGCGGACGCGTCCGCCCGCGCACCCCGCCTCGGCGGCCGTGGCGCCGCGACAAATAGTGCGGCGGGTCCTAGCGCCGGCGCGAGCGGAGGGGAGGGCGCCGCGGGAAAGGGCGCGGGGCTCGGCCCACGGGACACGGCTGCTCGGCGGGATCCACCCGCCGCGTGGCAGCCGGGGCTGGGCCCCTCCCGGATGCCCTGAGGGCCGCGCGGGGCTGGCGGGCTGCGGCAGGCGGGGGTCTGTGGGGATGAGAGCTGGGTGCGCAGCCGGGTGCTCGCCTCAGAGGGCTTGTTGAATCTGCTACTCAGGAATATTTTCTCTATCGGTTTATTCCAAGATTTTTTTTTCTTTTTTTTTTTTTTTCTTTCTTTTTTTTCTTTCTTTTTTTTTCTTTTTTAATGTAATCCTTCTGGAAAGAGCGGCAGCCTATATATAGCCTATAAAATACTGGAGCGAGGCAGATGGAAATTCAGGTCTCTTCTTCTTTTGCCATTAAATTACTGAATCGTGCTGTATATCTTTTGCACAAATCCTGTGGTTAACTAATTATCATCTAAATTTGGAAAAGTTACAACAGGAAGAACTGAGAAAAGTGGGTATCAGAATAATTAGTAATATGTGTATTAGAATAATTAGTTTTTGCTAATATGAGATAATGCGTTTGGATCTCTCTCAAATAAAGGCAGAGTTCAGGTCTACTCATATGCTGTGTGTGTGCCCTGGCTGAGGGGCATTAGTTTGCAAAGTGGGAACATAGGATTGAAGCGTGATCCCAAGAGGTGGATCAGCATCCTATGGCTGTGGTGCCAAAGTCTGAAGATAACTGCAGCCGAAAATGTGTAGAAACAAACAAAAACAGGAAAAAAAACCCCACCATGCTTGGCTAGAGCCTTGATCATTGGGGTGCAATACTGCTGGCTATTTAAACATGATGTTAAGCAGTGGTGAATGTTTCCAGCAGAATATTTAACTCACTAGCACGCTGTCCTTTTCAAGCCCAAAGTGTCTTTAATTATTGTGTCTTTTGTAGAGAAAAACTGCTTCAGCCATAAGCGCAGAGTATCTCCTCCCCTCACCTCATCCCAGAGGAAAGGAACGATTTCAGAAAATCAAGGACTGTGGGTGTGAACTCCTTGAGAGAGAAGAGAAAATGAGCTTGCTCCTTAGATGCTGGATAAGCTCCTCTTGGGTTCTTATACTAAAGGACTGTGGCAGCAGCACTGCCATTTTAGAAGAAGATAATGCTTGCTTTCATATTTTGTGTTGAATTCAACCTGTACATTATATACACTCTGAAAACGTTGCTTGCAATACCAGAAGGTATTGAGTTAAGCAATCAGCTTAAATTAACATACATCAGTTTCTCTGATCCTAAAATGGACACAGTGATACTTAACTGTGAAAAGTGGCTATTGATTCAGTGTCTGTGTTTGAAAAACCCACAGAAGTGAAGAGTAAGTGTATTTATTTCCTGTGCACTTTCAGTGCCTTAAAACATGTCCTGATTGTTTGTTTCCTGGGTCTAACTCACAGAACCACAGAATTGCAGGAAGTTGGAAGGGACCTCAAGAGATCATTGAGTCCAACTCCTCTGCTAAAGCAGGCACTCTATAGTAGGTTCCTCAGGCACGCATCCAGCTGGGTCTTGAATATCTCCACAGAAGGAGACTCCACAACCTCTCTGGGCAACCTGTTCCAGGGCTTCATCACCCTTATCATAAAGAAGTTCTTCCGCGTATTTGTATGGAACTTTCAAGTTTTAGGCCATTGCTCCTTGTCCTATCACTACACACCACTGAGAAGAGCCTGGCCTCATCCATTTGCCTCCCACCTTCCTGTAGATATTTATAAACATTTATCAGATCCCCCCGTCTTCTTTTCCCCAGGCTGAACAGACCCTGTGTCTCTCAAAACTCCCACTCTGCATGCATGTTTGGGTGGATGGGTGTGAAGTATCCTCTTCAACTGTTGAGCATTGAGGTCTGCCTCTTGTGTTCAACTTTATTTCAACAATTTTTCTTTCCTTCAGAGTATTTATCCATGCTTCTATAAAGCAGTGGAAATACAAAATTACCAGCTTCACTAAGGGACTGAATGAGTTATTAATATTTTAATAGATAGTGCTTTAAAAACAGCATGCTGTAAATGCATTATTAGGTATTTTCCAAAGAGCTTAAATGAATGTCAAGATAACAAAAATATACCCCCTCCGTGCCTTTGCTGCTTTATCTAGACCCTAAGCGAAGCAGAATGTTTCATATAATGCTGTTCTAGCCAGAAGCATTTTTCAGAGGGAAATGATGTCTTTGGAGAGAAACGATGTCTTTAGGATGTGGCATGCTTTTTGGAAAATTTAAGTTCTGCCCAGACTAGGCAGTGAAACGTAGCACATAGAGGCCAGAGATGTCACCACCTATGGCTCTTTAGAAGGATAAGATACGCAGTTGACTTGCTGAGGGTGTCAGCTTGGTACCTTTTGCTTCACCTTTCCTAAAGTCCTGCAGAGCACAGCCTATACAGTCCAGTCTGGGAATCGTTTCATACATACTTGTGTGTTTCAAGGCCAGAGGAGGGTGAGTTTCATGTGGCTAACTGAGTTTTCCATGAAGTAACAAATACTGGATTCTACAGTCCCCAGTGCTAGAGACTGTGTTGTGTTCAGTGGCAGCACAGATCTACCTTGCACTGAAAAGCCTTCTCCCTGCTTCTCATCCTGAAGGCAGCTCCACTACTCTGTAGAGATACTTATTAATAACTTTTGAAGCTTATGTTGTCCTATCATCTGAGAGCTGGAATTCACCGAATGTAATCTTCCTGGCTAAAATTCACTAAATCTACATACCTACCTTATTCTGAAATCTCCCTATAAACCAACTTGAAATAGTATTTGCTAATCAGGACTGTATTAGCATAAATTTGACTTAATGGGGAAGAATTCATCAGATGCAGAGTTATTAACTGAAATGAAACCAGGTGTTAAAATAGCTGTGTTTTCCTGATGCCTCATCCTCAAATATCAGAGTCCAGAAATAAACAGGGTTTCAGTTACAGAGTTTTTGAGTTTGAGAATTTCTGATTCATAAGAAACCTCACTGCTTCAGACATTTTCCTGCTCTGATGGGGAAGAAAAATAGATACATATAGCTCTCTGGGAAATGGACATTTCAGTAATGTTTCTGAAACTCAATTCTCCGAAGACAGCTCCTCAGGCTGCAGAGCTTGGGATGCTCACAGACACAGATGATGTAGTAGCTACAGTCCTTGGCTGTCAGAGAACTGCAGGACTGGGAAAGTGAATCTTAACCAGTGTGTCTCAGAAGGCACTTTAGATGAAATTTGTGTCACAATCTTGAGATGCTCAAGAAAAAGCTTAGCTTATGATCTAGCCACCTTTCATCTCCATTGGAGGGAAACAGACATTGCAGAAGGGGACTCCTGTTGTTCTGAGACAGGTGTGTAGCTTCAGTGAAGCTGCATTACCATCTGGAGGGGCCTGTCTAAGGAGGAGGCGAATCGCTTTCTGTATCATTTGTGTCTCCCCATTGACTGTAGGGAGAGGGGAGAGTGATTGTCTCATACCCCAGTGTACAAAAGTGTCATTTAAGAAATGAATTCTCAGTGTTGTTTTTAATTAAGATATTTTCAGCTGTGTACTTGGCACAACAAAATGCCTGCCCAGCTCTAATTCTGATATCTCCAATCGAAAAAAGAGAGGAAGCAGTAGTGTCATAGAACCACTGAGTGGCTTGGGTTGGAAGGGACCTCAAGGATCATCAAATTCCAACACTCTGCCACAGGCAGGGTTGTTGGGTGCCAGGTCAGGTATTAGATCAGAGTAACTTCATGTTACATGAGGTAACTGCTGTACCCTCCTACAGCTATACAGTAATGATTTTATTACTTTCCTTCTTTTCTTATAAAGAAGAACATAACCCACAAAAAAAATCAACCAAATGTTAAAGGATGCAGTCTTTAAAACAACAACAACAAACAAAACAAAAACCAAAAAACAACCAATGAACCAAAAGAACCTCTGATCATCTGGAGGTTTGGATTTTATTTTCAAAACAAAATATTAATTCTGCTTCAATACATCTCTTTAATATTAATATTAAAATTTTAACACAAACCTCATTTATATTTCAACTTAATACTTGTAGTAAGTTATGGTTTACAAAATGTTAACAGTACAGATGTCTTGATATTAAAATAAATCTGCTGTACAATGCAAAACTGACTAGGACAAGACTGTCTAAACTGTAGCTGAATATACTACGTAGATGGGAGCAACAGGTTGCTGTCTCTTCTTCCCCCAAAATGGATATTAAATATTTGACAGCCTTGCGTGCTCACTGCAGTTGGAAGTCAGCTCTGCAGCCATCATGCACTTGCCCCAGGAGTGGCTTGAGTAGCTTATTCCCTCAGTTTCAGCATTTAACTTCTGCCTTGTGAAGCAAATGGTAATGATGTCACATCCAAGTTGGTTAAAAAATACCAAAGAAGCAGGATTTATGGGTGGGGCAGTGTTTTCAATGGCCTCTTGTTTCTTTATGGCTACTGGGCTGCACAGATGAGATATCAGAGGTGCATTTTTCTTCCAGTTTCTTGATTCTTCATCTACTTCTGTGCACAGAGACTGAGCACTTGGTACTAAATGGGCATTGTGGTATCACACAGAGAGCAGTCTAAATTCTATCACTGCTGAGCATTTGAAATACACTGAAATCTAAAGACTTTGTTGTTTGCACTTCTGAAGATTAAGACTACAATTCTTAAAACTAGAAAGAGATCTCTGTCTTTTATTAAGTGGCACCATTTCGTGACATCCCAGCACTTGATGACACATCACAGTGTTGTGTTCTTGAGAGTTATTAGTAAATCTGCATTGTAACTGCAAATACAAATGAGTACCTGACAGGTAACTATAAATTAAATAGATGGATGCAAATGACCAAACACATTTTAATGAGCTTTGCTGTCA